ATTTAAATCCATTTACTAGGTGTGGTGCAACGTGGAGTGATCTTAGATACGTGACTCCAAGATCTTTGGCTGCTCTTCAAACCTTAGTTTGCAATATGTCATATCGTATTTAATAACCACAACATAGCGGTTTCTTCTTCATTCATATGAAACTATTGATAATTCAACTTTTCTTTACATTTCCCAAAGTCAAATTTTAAAAATTTTACAATTAAAATTATTTCAATACATTTAGAGTATTAAACATAATAGGTGTATATAAGATTTACCTGGTGAAAGATTAGAAACAAAACATTTCCTTATTAATAAACTTCAAGAATATTTCAAGAATTAAACAAAGGTCAAGTTTGTTTAGTTGTTCGATTTCAAACAACAATTGAAGTACTCTGAAATTCTCTCATGTCAAGATATATAAAACGAAATTATGATGTCCAGCAATATCTGATCTGAACTCTGATGTCAGTTTTTGTCACAGTGAGACTGAAACCTGAGACTTTTTTTAACATATAAGACTATCAACTAAGTGAAAAGAATTTAAAAAACACACGTAACATCTTTTCAATAAGAAAAACCAGAAGGAAGATGGATCAGGCTTGAAACTAGGTAAAAGCAAGGATCTGATGAAAACATCATGTGTATTTCTCAGAATATGCAGATCTTGGATTGACAAAAATACCAGTCATTTATTAGTAATTAAAAGCAATTTCAGTCTTCAGACCATAGAAAAACAAATCAAAGAAAGAAAAAGCTTTAGGTTAACACAATACCCAAAATTTAAACCAAATTAGAAGATAAGAATCTCATGTTTTTCCTTTAGCAAAATATAAATATAGACATGATAAATGAAAGATTTACAGATCAATCTGACCAAGAAAACAAGAGAAAAATGAAATCTTGAAACAAAATAAAAGAAAGAAATCAACAAACCTATAAAGAAATTACAAATAAAAACATAACAAAGAATAGGGTCGATTAATTATACTGTAAATTCATATAACTAATATTAGGGTTAAGATAAAAAGATAATACTCGGAGGTGCTGCAGAACTCATAGAGCTTCCCACGGTTAGAAAAGATGATAAGAGCAACTTCGGCGTCACACAGAACAGAGAGTTCATAGGCTTTCTTGAGCAACCCATTTCTTCGTTTCGCAAATGTCACCTGCCGATTAATCTTGTTCTCAATCCTCTTCAACTCCACTCTCCCCCTACCCATGATCTCTCTTTCCACCTTAATCTATATCACTATATATCTATATACGTATGTATATATATGAGTCCTTAACCCCCTTTCTTCTGTTGGCCCTCTTTCTCTCACTCTGCACACAATTATTTGTTAACCTACAAAGTTGAAATCTTGAAAGTCTTGAAAAGAGAAAAACTAGAAAAGATTATACAGAAGAACTGTATGTATATATGTGTGTACATTGGAGTCTTATTTGAAAATAGAATAAATTGTTTTCATGTTGTTCTAGATTTTGGGTTCTCTGTAAGAACCTCAGGGTTTGGCATATGCACTTGCAGCTCAGATATCAAATACTTAGGGTTGGAGTTTTTTCTTTCCCTACTTTCTAATCGTCAAGCTTTCGTGTGTTTTAACCACTGTAATAAACGCGAGTATTTCTGTTCGAGATATTGTGCTTGAAATGCACGCTCTTGAAATTTCAATGGACGTAAAAGAAACGCACAATGTGGAAGCGTGGTAGTGGATTTTGTCTCGTTGCAATGTCCATCAGAAAACTCAGACAGCCGTCAGTAATCTTAAACTGGGGTACACGTGTCATTTCTTCAGTGGGTTACGTATCTTTTTTTTTTTAACAAATATAAATATATTTTGTTTTACAATGTTCACCTAAAATATCATTGTCTAATTAATTTGGAATAAGTGGTCTCGAGAAAATTGTGCATTTAAAAATTTATTTATTTATAAATATAATATTACATATTTCATTTAAACTTGATGAAAATGACCTTTCACTTACTCGTATCATTTTCTTCCGCACTTTTTCGTGTCATTTTCTTTCTCATCCTGCTAACTTTATCCCATTTGCTTCACGTTCCTTTCGTCACCTCGTGTCCCAATCACTATACCCTCTATCCTTATCTCATGTACACGGCCACTTCGGAGCCTCCAAATTGTTTAGTATCTTAAGAATCTCTAAGATGCTTCCAAGTAATAGGTTGGATGGGAGAGGACGAGCAACACGGGAATTAGTTTCAAAATAGGAAAAGGGGCGAAAAATAAGGTAGGAATTTAACATCAAGAAGGGTATTAATCAGTCACTTCTGCAACTAACGTGTTTTGGAAATTAGAAATAATATAACTAAACTAAAATAAATTAGAGAAATATGAAAAAAATTACAATAATTTAAAATATTTTGTTACAATTATTTTTTTCTCTTTGGGTGGGGAAAATGGCATAGATGTTGACATGTTTTGCGTAGTGAAGTCTTAATGGGCATTGTTTGGTTGAATGACATTCAAAAGCAACTAAGCCCAACCTCCCAACTGTGTTGTCGGATGTCAAATTTAAAGTTGATGCTTTCTCCACTCATGTCAAGGAACGAACATAACTATTTCGTCCAAGTTGCGGTCAATTTCAACATTACGAGTACTATACATGCGTTTCATATAATGAAAGTCTTAAAATTATTCACCACTTATTTCGGAAAGAATAAAAATATTGTACTTGACAAATAAGTCAAATTGACCTCTTGTTCTCGATCAACAAAAAGCTGAAGAGGCTTCCCATCACTACAGATAAAGGGAACGATGGATTGGTGGTCACCCTCAAAAGAGTGCATAATAACTCGGTGATCGGACGTTCTTCCGTCGAAGATGAACAAGGCTACCATAATCAATGGGACTTGGTGAAACGGCACGAACTTTATTGGTTTTAAACTTTTAAATAAGATAATTTACTATGTAATCATTTTGTATTTTATTGAACTTGTTTACGTAGAGCTAGCATGTTGGCCTAAGCTTAAAAGTTTAATTATAAGTAAAGAGTACTCTTTCTTACTCAAAACCAAAAAAAAAATATATATATATATACTTAGTCTGTTATTTTAGTAAAAGTAATGTGACTAAAACCTAAAACTAACACGAAAGGTGTGAAGTTACCTTGTGCAGGTGTGCTTTTTGGTGTTTGGAAATGACTTCGAACTTTACCCTTTGAATTTGGGATGCTATTACAAAATGGGCTTTTATCATTTTTACTAAAATAATGTTACTTTTACATAGTGGAGTGTATATGAGGTGTCAAAAATAGAGTAAAACGGTTTTTCTTTTTTTATTTGGTTGAAGAAATTCAGACCTGATCATATATCACCACATCAGTAGACCATTGAGTCCGAATATCATTTCCACAAATACTATATCTTAGGATTTAATCTAATTTTTCTAACTCCTATTTGACAAAAGTAAGTAATAATCATGATGATTGTTATTATGTTTCCTAACTACTTTTAAATAATTGAAAATTTAAAAAGAATGCACACAACAGATAATTGAAGATTCAAATATGTGATAAATATTACGGTATAACAATTTCTTTAATTGATTTTTTTAATTCTTAATTCAAAATCCATAACCTAATGTAGTGTTCGATCAAATTCTTCTATTGTATTCAATTTACCAATCTCGAGTTCTCATTGAATCTATTTAACTAATTAAATCTCATATCTCCATGTGAATTAACATTAATTAAACAAAACAATAGTTCTAAGCATTCATATTATGACCGCAATAATTAGTATATGTATTTCTACACGTTATATTAATTTACCGAATTTTACTTTATGGTCTAAATCTCAAACTCACCTCTCGATTTATAAGAGATTCACATAATTATCAAATTATTGATCGAGTAATTTCTGTATTAAACTCATAATAAAATCAACACATAAATCAATAACTCACATAAATATTGAATAGAAAAATAAAGGATCACAAGTCGACTACATTTTTTACTTTAATATAAAAATTAGTCATTCATACTGTAAAAACAAAAACACGCAAAAGTGGAACGATATCACCAAAAATTGACGAAATATGAAACTGCTCGTGTATACCATTTCCTTTCTTTCTTTCCTGCTTTCTTTTTCTTTCTCTTTCGTCTTTCTTCTTCTTCTTTTTTTTCTTTCCTGCTTTTTTTCTTTTTTTTTTTTGGCCTTTTTCTTTTCTCTCTCTTTTTCCTTATAGTTTTCTTCTATGTTTTCCTCTGTGCAAGACTCATTTAATTCGAATTCATTTAATTTAATATTTTTCTTCAAGGTTTCATCTTTGGATTTTGCCATTTTCCCCCACATTTGCATTCTTTTCTTCAATTCTTCAGTAAACATAAAATTTACCTAAAAAACACAATATATAACGTAAATTATGTGAAATTTTATCGTAAAGATAATAAAATATCATGATTTAGGGTCTCGAATAAGTGTAGAAACTACACTTATCATTTATGTAAGCTGTTAAATAAACATATTATGTACATGTAACACAACTGCATAAACATGGATGGATCCAGTGGTGGGCTACACTTGGCTGTAGCCCAGTGTAGTCCGCCCAGTGTAGTCCAAACCCAGATGCATTAAAAATATAGGTAAATTGATTGTAGACCACCGTTCAAGCCTAGTAGGTAGTAGCCCATTTGAAAAACCAATTATGGAAGGGATAGCAAAGGTGAAAAGGGCAATTAAAAAAGCAGGAGATAAAGGTCATGGCTCTCGTTTTACCAAGTCCCTTGCGGCAGAGCTTTCCACTTTTAGGGTGGAAAGGGAGAGGGAAAGGGATTTGCTGAAGAAGGAGAATCAAAGTCTTAAAATTCAGCCTAAAGACACAGCAGGAGTTATACATACTGCAGGTAAACTTCTTGTTAGGTTGAGAGAAGCAAAGGAAGCAGCTTCAGTGGCCATGTCTAGCATGCCCAAGGGCAGATCTTTTTAGTACATCATCCAATTCCTCTGTGCACTTCTTCTCTAATCTTAATTCCATCACCACCTTTTATGCTCTTTGACGGATGGACTCGAGATCAATTCTTAATTCATCAGTCAATGAAATCCACTCGCTCTCCATTTCCATCCACCCTACTCTTTCCTTCTCGAATTCTTCCTCATTATTACCTCGGGCATATGTGATGCTTCTCCTCAACTGGATAGATTGCAACAACAAAGAGGATCTAAGCCTATCAATTGATTTGTTTGCTGGTGTTTCAACGCATGACTTCAATTGGCTCCTTAGAATTTCAATCTCCTTGAGAAATGCTTCCCTCTCTTACACATCAAAAGACTTCTTCATGCAAGAGTCTAAGTCCTCATGGGCGTATTTTATTTCACACTTCCCCTTTATAAACGCTGGCTCATGATTTTCATCGTTATTCCATTCCAGAAGTTGGGAACAATAACCAAAGATCCATAAGGACATGAACCATAGACATAGATGACTGAAGATTCAGTGAGTGCAGTTACTAACCGTATCATGACTATTTAGCGAGTGGCATTTTTCTCATTTGGACGGTATTATTAATATGATTACATCATACTCTTTGACGGATGGACTCAAGATCAACTCTCAATTCATCAGTCAATGAAATCCACTCGCTCTCCGTTTCCATCCACCGTACTCTTGCCTTCTCGAATTCTTCCTCATTATTACCTCGGGCATATGTGATGCTTCTCCTCAACTGGATAGATTGCAACAACAAAGAGGATCTAAGCCTGTCAATTGATTTGTTTGCTGGTGTTTCAACGCATGACTTCAATTGGCTCCTTAGAATTTCAATTTCCTTGAGAAATGCTTCCCTCTCTTACACATCAAAAGACTTCTTCATGCAAGAGTCTAAGTCCTCATGGGCGTATTTTATTTAACACTTCTCCTTTATAAACTTTGGCTCATGATTTTCATCGTTATTCCATTCCAGAAGTTGGGAACAATAACCAAAGATCCATAAGGACATGAACCATAGACATAGATGACTGAAGATTCAGCGAGTACAGTTACTAACCTTATCATGACTATTTAGTGAGTGGCATTTTTTTCATTTGGACGGTATTATTAATATGATTATATTATTTCCTAAATTTTATTCGTACATTATATTTTAAAATTTTTTGTCCCCTGTACCATTCATTCATGGCTCCGCCCCTGCAGCATAAAGTTTTATAAAAATAAGTTTTTTTTTTTTTTTCATTAAGTAAGAAATAAGTAAGTTATTTATATAATTCGATTGTAAAATAAAAATTATTTTAAGAAATGCAATTTTTTTACTTAAAATGTAAGTCACTAATATAAGTTTCGGGACACAAATTACATAAAGTTACTTCGCGTTTTTTCAAGCTTAGCCAAGCACGCTCAATGCTCGAAAACAAAATTAGTTTTGTTCTCTATTTACTGTTGAATGTGCTTCTCATATATGCAATTTATTCTAGTATTTTTTCCGATGGCATAAAATTCACTCGAGTTGAGATCATAATTACACCAAGATAAACTAAATTCTAAGTTTAGATATTTCGATTGTGGACTTTGCCATCTCATTATATTAACGGCAAGTTTGGCATGACTTTTGAAAAGTTTAAATTGCTTATGTGATTAAGAAATTATTTTTGAATGTGTTTGAATAATTTTTTGAAAGTATTCTATCCGAAGGGTTTTTAGATGAGATGACTTAAGGTAACTTTTTTCGGGAAACTCTTCTACAAGAAGCAGAATTAACACAAAAGTCAAGTCAAACAAACCCTAACATCATCAATGTTATATCTATGGCTACTTCATTCTCTAAATTTTTCTCTTGATCTTGTCATACGATGATTTTCACACATTTCGTAGCAATATTGTGTTAATAAAAAACGTGTGAATAATGCCTATAGTTTTCTTGGTGACATTTAATACTAATGGTACAACCCTACAAAAAGAAAGCACTCTCAATTTCGTTCTTTAATAGAATCGATAGTCAACAAATTAAGATTACGTTATATTCATTGTGCAGACCTATGATAATAATATATCCTTAGAGATTAAAATCTAAATTTTAATTTAAATCAAAATCAACAATTAATTTTAATAATATATTTTATGAAATCCATAATTTGTAAAGGGCATTGCTAGTGGTACATAATTTGTGTTACATAAGGGCCATCCACCGACTCACATAGGGGTGGGACCCACTTAAAGAAATATTTTTTATTCGCGTAGGTCCCACCTCCATGTGAAGGGTGGATACTCTTATGTAACATAAATTATGTACACCTAAAAATGTCCACTTGTAAATCACATCAATTTTTATCAAAATTTATTAAAATTTTAATTCTTACCAAACACGAACTTAAATAAAAGACCTCAAGCTGTTTGAGGGCATCAATGCATATCACATTTGTATGATATCAGTCAGGATCGGACTTGAGGCGAGGTCGAAGATGTGGCCCCCTCAGGCCCAAAATCTATGTGGTCCGTACTTTTTTGAACTTCAGAAAAATAAAATTTAAAATGTTAGTCCATTGAGAACAAAAGTTCTCGTGGTGTAATGGTAAAGGTCACCAACCTTTGATCTTATTTACATTTTGTCCTTTTAATGTGAAAAAGTCTACTTATACAAAATTATTTGATAAAAAAGTTGACAAACTCTCACATGATGGTTAACCCCACATGAATAAAAAATTCCAAAAAAAAATGTGGACCCCCCTATTGTGAGGGGGCCGGTCAGGGTGTTTTTCACCCTGACCCGGTACACCAAGCCTCTCTCTTTTAATGTAGATATGTAGACGCTAATTTCCTCACAAGAAATACAAAAGTTGATTTTTCTAAGGTGGCAAAACACTGTGTTTAACACTTATTCAATCTTTTAAACCCCCTTTTTGTTTTTTTTCAATTTCAAATTTTGAAAAACCATTTCTTTTTAGTGCAAAAAAATCTTTTCAAAATTTAGTTTAACGCTCAACCAGTTTACAAAGAATGTCGTACAATATATTCGAAAAAGACGACTCTTTATTTCTTCCTTTTTGTTAAATTTTTACACGAAAAATATGGAATCGATAAAAGACGAAGAGAAAACCTCTATTTATATTGATACGATATAATGATTTTAGGTTATAATCAAATCATAATAAAGTTAAAAAAAACATGGGTACTTGAAAAAGTTAAAAATGGAAAAAGAATGCAGAAATCATAATAACAAAAAGAAAACGTGAAGCCAGTTACACCAATAAAATGTGTTTTAACCAAATCTAAAGATTGTAAAATGGTAAATTTGTCGTTATTCCACATAAAATAATTAAAAAAAAGGTAAAATAATACCGTTCATCTTCCCCACCAGATCAAAACCATATCAACTTCATCGTCGCTTTCTTCCACATCGTCGCTTTCTTCATTATTGTGCTTGCGGAAATGTGAAAATATTATTAAAACGCCTGTGCGAAGTGTGCAAAAATTTTCAGCATTCTTAGAAGCAACATCAGCAAAAAATTGTTTTATGTGGAATAATAACAAATATACCATTTTACGCTCTTTAGATTCCGTTAAAATACGTTTTCTTGGTCAACTAATGGAATCCATCCATTTGGCCATTAGGTGCTAATTTTTCAAAAGTTTAGGATCGCAGTGACACAAACTGAAGATTAAAGTAAAGTTTGCAAAAAACTCAAATGTTTGGGATCGTTGCTCCAATTTTCCCCAAAAGTAATCTTTATGTTAAAATAAAATAAAAAGTTTTGGATATCTTTTTTATTTTTTAATCTCTCCCTTCTGTGATTTTTTTTCTTCATTTTTTCATTTACTTTCAACTGGAGAACAACATTAATTTATAAACAAAATAAAAATTTGTGAAATTAAAGTTCTATTTAGTTAAGATTTTTAAAAAATTTAATATCGATGGTTAGTGCGATAACCTAATTTAATATAACCTTCAAGTAGGCGGTTGATTAACTTTATTTGAAATTTAATTAGGTCGCAAGAACCTTGTCAATTTTTCTAGTTCTTTCTCCCAAAACCTAACAAAATTAGATGGCATTGACTATCCATGACTCAAACTTTAATGCAAATTTGGTATGTCGTATTAAATAATATTATGGTTCTCTATTTTATTGCAAATGAATTGAAATGTATCTTCTTCAATTATTATTTAAGTTCAGAATTTGTGATTGATATTTTTATTAAAATTACAAATTTAATAATATAAAACTTAAATTCTCTTTGGTCACCACAGGCCTATTAGCTCAGTTGGTTAGAGCGTCGTGCTAATAACGCGAAGGTCGCAGGTTCGAGACCTGCATGGGCCATTTTCTAAAATTTATCCTTTTCGACTTATTTTTTAGTGCAGCAAAAGAAGTTCAAGTTAATTGTACATAAGGTCCTTCTATTTTATGCCTTTGGCCATAATGTGTCCAAACATTTCAAATATCACTAAATTTTTATCTTTTTCATTTTCCAAACAAGAAGTGAAATATTTCATGAAAAGAAACTCATAAAAATCTTTTATCGTTCACTAATTTAATCGTGCCCATAACATACAAATCAAAACATCGAACACGCACACATGCTTGATAAATCTATACATTCTTCAATAAATATAGTCTCCACTATCAGTGAACGTGTTAATGGCATCTGGCTCATAAGAATTAGCAGTAAATTGATTTTGGATAGCCATTTTACTACAATTATTTATCTGTTGGTTCCACAGCCCTCCCCATAAATAACTATCGATCGGGATAGTATCCGGACTGGAAGCGAAATCCTCGTACATCGTAGGCAACATTTCATTTTGCAACTTCATTACGACGTCGTTTTTCTCGAACTGGTCTCTTTCATTGCTTATGGCTTCCACCTTCTTATCCTCGTAGTTTTCTTCTTTTTGTTTTTGTTGTGTTTGCTGAAGATTTTTTCTCCTTTCTTGCCTTTCAGAAGCCTTTCTTATTTTCTTGAAATGAGTTCTCCAGTAGTTTTTGATCTCATTATCCGTTCTTCCTGGCAAGTATCTCGCTATTGTCGACCATCTGTGGACATAACAATGATGTCTTATTCTCAATAAATTTGAAGTCGACCCAATATGTTAGATTATCAAATTAAAAAAAATGTGGAGGATAGAGAAAAGATTATGCATTACTTGTTCCCCCAAAGGGCATGAAGTTCGATAATAATTCCTTCCTCTTGTGCTGTTATGTGGCCTCTTTTAAGTCCAGGCCTCAAGTAGTTCACCCATCTTAGTCTACAACTCTTTGCATTCCTATTCAGCCCTATATACCAAATTGAGAAAAATTAACACGAGCGACATCACATAGGTAATCAAGCATCGACGAGAAACCCATAAAAAAAAAATGTCATCTCGACCCGAAAAAACAAGACTTGTACACATACCTGCACACCTAGCTACAGAACTCCACCTCCCTTCACCATTCTGACTTACATATTCTGAAAGAAGCTTATCTTCTTCAGGAATCCAAGGCCCTTTTCTCCACTCTTTTTCTGAAATACACCAACTTTCCATTTCAACCAATTTTTTTTTTGCTTTAAATTTGTATGACAAAACCCTTAAGCAATCTTTGCTTATATATTGTTTATATCCTCTTAATGTGTCACTTTCATTGTCTTTTTCTAAGTCATTATACTTAGACTACATGCCAGATGTAATTACATTATGCTTTTGGATTTAGTCTTGTTCAATAGGTGTTCAACAGTTGTTGCTACAAAATCTTTTGTTCCCTATCATGGAGCACAAGGGCAAATTTTCCTTGGTTAAGTTCACGGAATCTAATATTAATTAAAGCATAATCTTGATTAAGCCGTAATATTTAGTGGGTTTTTGGTGTAAATGTGTTACACTCCAATTATCATGTCACACATGTTGGTATACTTAATTAATCTCGTCATTAATGTTTTAGATCAAAATAGAGATGAGGTAATTATCCCTTATTTTATTTAAGCATTAAGAAGGTTCATGATGCCTATTCGAGTAATGGGATTAATAAAATATGTAGAAGAAGAAAATATCGATGATGAGTTGAGTCAACTTGTGGACGCGTGGACATTAGTGACAATATTAAAATGCAAAGGGGGATTTTTTTTAATTGGAAAAACACATTAATTTATAGGATAATGATATATATAGGTAATGATGTGAACCATACCACCATCAATAAAAGAGTTCAAGATCTAGAAGAGTACCACTAAATCAAGTAATGCTTGTACTAGATTCTTTATGTGATTGCGCCAAGAGTAAATTATTTAAAGTTGCTGCATTCTGTGGTCTTAATCCTGTTTAAATTATTGGAGAGGCTTTTAAGAGTATCTTAAGAACATAACTTTCCTAAATTTACGATCTGTTTGACATGATTTCTGTTGTTACTTTTATTTTTTGTACATGAACTTCATGAGTAACAGTGACGGACGTAAACATTTTGAGTTAGTGTGATACAATTAAATTTATAATCAAACTAAAAATGTGCTAACACCAATAAAATGTTTCAATACATGCTCCTTGTTCACATAACGAATGAGAACTGACGTTTGCTCATTTACTGAAATATTGTTAAACAGAATTTTAGTTTTGAATTTCAATTTCTATTTTCGAACGTATTCTTGGATAACAAAATGAAACGGTGAGTAGATAATTGGATGGTAACATTGCTAAAATCAAATTTTCATTAGAGATTCAATATTTTTCCAATTAATTCGCGTTGATATGAATATTTTCTATAATTTTTAAAAGTCTAGTTAATTTTAAGGAAAAACTACCAAAAACCCTACATTTTAATTTCCAATTTCAAAAATCAGTTACTAAATATTTTATTCAATAATCAGGTTTTAATTATTTTTTAATTTAAAAACACATTATTATACCCTCACTACAACCAACCACCCTCATAAATATCTTCTTCCACCCACTCACCCATACATGCACAATTAAACCCAATTCAGTTTCATACCCATTTTAACACCATAGCCCTTCTTTAATCCATTTCCAATCCTTGAATCACCACTACCGAGCGGCGACGATTTGAACGTCATGGAGTGAAGAGGCATCGGCTCCGTCTCTTCTCCTTCTCTCTCCTCAAACATTGCCGTTGTCGCTAAATCATCAGCCCCTGCCGCCGAACTGCTGCGAAGACGACGCCACCACCGCACTCAAGACGCCACTATCGAGAGGTGGCAATTTGAACATTGCGGAGTTGTTTGCCCTTCCGTTGATACAGTTCAGAAGTGCAAATCCATTCTTCGCCTTTTTTTAGTGGTGTGGTAATGACGGTTCGGTGGTGGAGGTGTGCTGTACGGTGGTAGGTGCGTCAGTGATGTGCTCTGTGGTGCTGTAGGTGCAACGATCAACTGAATTGTGTGGTGTTGGGTGCGTTGGAGGTGGTCGTGTGTGGTGCTATGGCGGTGGTGGTGGAGGTTCAGTGGTATTTTTACGGCAACGCTATGTGCAGTTCGTGGAGGTGTGCGGTGGTAGGAGCCGAGATCTCTGGTGGTGATGTAGTAGAGGTGGGGATGGAGGTAAGAGGTGTCGTGGCGGGG